CGCAGACCCGCCTCGCCGGGCACCTAGGTCCTTACGGGGACCTAGGCAGGACCACCCCTCCTACTCCCGTATCCTAATACCTAGAGCGGTTACCGTGGGTTGAGGATAGGTATCTTGGGCAGGGCGTCCCCCACACCAAGGGCCATTAGTAAGGCGTCCCCCACATCAGGCCGGTGCGCGTAACACATGCGCTAAGGAATACAAGCATTGCATGAAGTTGTATTGGTTGTGAAGCATCTCCGAGCGAGATCTATAATGCACTTTGAAGACAATGGTGATTTTGAACTCTTAGTTCCTATGTTTTTTGCAGCAGTTGAACAACATCTCTAGCATTCCAAAGTTAATCGAGGCGCAAGTGGGTTGTTTGGAATTAGACTTGAAGCTCCATCCCTTACAGTTCACCACACAATCAGGAGGTCAGTAAGGCAAGGCAGTATCCTACCAAGTCAGAATGTCAGGTTAGTCAGTCTTCACTCCAAGAGGTCCCTGGTCTCTGTCCTTGTCACTATTGGGCCCCGCCCCACCTTTCTTATTAGAACGGTCACCGTATATGCTCAAAAACAAAGTTGTGTCATCATGCCATGGGAATTGTGGGGGCAACTTCAAGTCTGTGGTTGCAACCTCCTTGTCCGTGCAGAGCGCCTCGCCCCATGGTGACCAAAGCTCCTCCCCACAATCGTCCTCCCCGTGCTCGTCGTCCCCGCACTCGATCTTGAGGGAGCCATATCCAGAACGCCATTTTCTTTGTATCGCTTGTACTTGCTCCTCGTTGTCTCCAGCTCTGCTCTCAAGACTTTGTTAATGGCCACCAAGGTGGCCACACGAACGCCCAACTCCAGAGTTGGGTAGTGGGACTTGGCAATCTAGGCAGCGGGACTTGGCAACCTACTTTAGCTCAGCGATCTGGGCTTTCAATGACTCCGACTCCTTGACTGCATTATAGTTTGCCCCGTACAACTTGTCAATGGTATGCATTGCCCCCTCGTGGCTTTATGATCAGCACTTTGCTACTTCCTATGCCACACTTTTTGATCGCTACGGGTCCCCATGGATCGTTCAATGTCTAGAGCCATATCCATAGCCGCACTGCACCCACCCGGCAGCATGGCATGCATGTCCCAAGGGGTACTGCAAGCCAACACACATACCCAAAGGTGCGTCCCCTCAAGCGCAGTTGCTGGGTTTTGCGATGTTGGCTATTAAGGTGAGTCTGTACTTCCGACAGTACTGCTATGCACTGGAGATCATAGACGACTCGATGTACATCACCAGCCACATGTGGTTGGCAGGCTTAAGCTCATTGCAATCTGGCTGGTTTTGTGGTGCGGTTGCAGGACCCGGGCACCAGCCATGAACGTGGCCAGTGGTTGGGCGGTACGCATCGGGAGCAGGTATGAGCGAGTATGAGCGCACCTTGCAGGGTCTTAAGCATGCGTGCTCAGCACACGCTTACCTAGAGGGTGATGGACTGGCACGGAGACTTGGGCACACATGACATATGACTATGGCGAACATCAAAAAGGTGGTGTGCTGTGAATCCCAATGGCACATGTGTGAAGGTGAGTCTCCAATGCAGCCTAAAACTGGGTGCCTCCTTTGCCAACGTTCAGTGGAATGGTGATCCACGTTTGCTCTTGCCGTCGGGCATGCTTAGAATAGCATCACACATGGAGTGATGTGTTTGGCGCATGGCTTCTTTGGGGATAGTTAATTCATCTACAAACAATCACATGGCTGTGGGGAGTTGAACAGTTGTATCACCATGTATCTGGTTGACGATTTGTTTTCCAGACCACCAAGTCAATCAAGGTACCCGTCCAATCGATGGAGGATTGGTTGAAGGCCATGGGGTGAAAAGTCCATGGATGCTGCACCACCCAAGAACCAATATAACTTGAGCATCCTTATGTACTTTATAGGCACGTCGGGAAAGTTCGAAGGTTTTGGCTCACCCGCGGAACAATTCCAGGCCAAATGTGCTCTCTCAAGTGTCTGTGCTATGTGTCAAACCCACTAATAGGTATGTTTGGAATCGGCTTCGTGCTAGCAGTCTCTGCATTCTAGCTAGTGGTTCTGGCTAGTGGTCTCTGCGTTCTGGCCAGTCCACTAGCTAGTACAGCTACTAATTTGAGGTCATTCCACCACTGTGTAGTTTGGTTGAACCACAACTAACATTCTCAGTGTACAAGTATCCATATTGCTTTTGTTGTGTTTGTTGACAGGTGCTGCCCAGCTACCATAGTCACCTTCAAGATGGCATAGTCTGGGCTGAGACCAGCACGCACGACAAAGGAGCAGGGTTTGCCGCACTTGGCTGGTTGCGTATTACAAGAGACAAGAGAGGAGGGGGGAGAGCGGACTGCAAAGCAATGCTTGTTCCAAGGCTTGACATTTTTGCCCCAGTCCTCGTGTGGTCTGTAGTGGGCAAAGCTCATCAACACATTGCCTTTGCAGGAATCTTCAGGGAGTAGAAATGGTCTGATTGGGCATGTGACCATGTGGGGTATGCAGAGCTAGGGTCGCGCTGTTGCAAGAACGGATCTGTAAACCTGTGTGCCGCAACTTAGCATTGGAGTGCGGACTACATGGTCATGCACAGTCAGGATTGCAAGGGGATAGTGGGCCCACATTGATGAGGAACCATAATCCCTGGAGGGTTCATGCCGTGCACAACAACAACTCCAGGGAAGCCAATTGAAACACACAAACCCACGGGCGGCTGTGGGATGGTGCGCATGCAGAGTAGCGGTGGAGCAACCAGCCCCCCCCAAAAGCGGTCCCTGAAACGCACCCAAACGCAGGGTTCCTGTCAGCCGCACAGCATTGGCCACGATTCCCTCCCACGAGCGCAGGCGCTCCCACGCGATCCCACGCAGGGAATATTCCCCAAGCATCTGCAAGCGGGGACCGTCCCACGCGTGTCTTCAGCCCTGGATGTGGGCCACCCCCGTCGGGCCACCAGCACTAACGATGCAAGCCCACGCAGTCCCCAGGCAGCTACTCCCAATGCGTGGCTGGGCATCCACCAACGTGGGGCTGCACTGCCCCCGGGACGCGGCCCCACAGGTTGTTCGACGTGCCCCACCACTGGCTCACATCACCGGAAATGCGACGTGCCCCACGCGGTGACCAGCGCAAAGGCATCCCCATGCCTGCTGTTGCCAGCCCTTGTGATGGGCGGCCCACGTTATGGGATGTCATTCAACCTCGTTTGAACCGCATGGGGACGATGCCCACAATTCTGCATACTGATACGTAGAAACGTGATGCCACATCAGCGTCCTGCCGGATGGCACTGCGTCGCGCTACATGGGCTCGTGTTTGTAGTTATGGGCAGTCATCGGACTGCCGACGCAGTGTGACGCATGGAAACGCGTTGCCCACGCAATTCCATGACCAGAGTGTATCCCTCCATTCCGCTGGTCACAAGGAGCCCAAGCGGGCAGTGGCCACTTCGATGGCCACCATACCATCCGCCTACTGGACACCTCTCTTGGGTGTGTTTGGTTGTCTGCAATAGTAGGTCCCACGGCACAACGAAGCTGCATAAAATACTACAGAAATAGTGACAAGCCAAAAAAGGGGGCGCTATTGGGGGGCCGGGGGCACTATTTGGGGGACGCTATATAGGGACCCCTACTGTACACTGAATATCTCAATGTTGTGCTCCGATCAGCAACACGCGCAACGCTTGTTCACAACCCCGTACCACATACATACGACATACCGTATTTACCCGGTATTAGTAGGCATGTATTGGACCCCCCAAAAGAGCTGTGGATACTAATAGCGGGTCATGTATACTAACGCGGTTTGGACCCCTGATTCCAAAGAGTAGACAAAAACTTTTTTGACAAATAGGCCGTGAAATACCCCAAAATGGACAAAAATGGCGATGCTAGTGCGGAATGTTATCAGCCCTGGCGGCCTTGACTTGGGGCTGCACCAGCTGGTGGCGACTGGCGATTGGGGCCATCAGGGGTTTGCTAGAATGCTCCAGGCGCATTTGCCTCTGCAATGCAAAGAACAAGGCCTGACAGGGGTCTCGACTCGCTGGGGCACCACGTCGCGACGACGCTCGACACGCGGCGTATTCCCCCACTGATGGCAGCTGGGTCTGTGGCCTGGTAGCCAGTGAGATGTGTTTTGCCCCACCTTCGCAGCATTTTACGGCCAGTTTTGCAAGGCGGGGTCTCGCAACGGCAGTTGCCCCGACCAATACCGTCGCCTGCCCATTCCTGGCGCTGGGCATTGGGGGGACTCGTGCCAAGCGCCAGGCCGGAACCTACTCTGGCCGGCCGGGGAGCAGGTTGGCTCAATTCAGAAACTAGGGCGGCTTTGAATTCTCGACCGCTTCTATCATCGGGCCTTGCGGCGTCGGTTGCTGCCTTACGACCCTGCGCTGAGAACGCGAATGGCGGCCAGTCGACCGCGGGGCTTTTCGCAGAAACCCCTCCAAACTCTCCCTCGACAACATCCACCCCGCTCCTATCGTCCCCGTCGATGTGCGAATCGCAGGGAACGCGGTTTGGTCCAGACTGGGCAACGAGGTCAAACACCAGCCCCCGACTTCCCTTGCCACCATCCGCACCTTCCGTGTTAGTATCCAACCCCAAACCTCAACAGAGCAGAAACGACCGGGTCATGGATACTAAGGTGGGTTCGACCCCCAAAGAGGGAGGTGGATACTAATAGGGGGTGCCTACTAATACCGGGTAAATACGGTACATACGGTATTTTTTCTTCCGCCGCTTTTTTCGCGGCCCCCCACCCGCCGCATCCCCGCCCCCGGAAAAAAGGCCGTGGCCTGCGGGCCGGCAGTCCCTGCCCCCAGCGCGGGATTTTCTGGCGCCCCGCAGGCGCAGCCCACGCGCCGGCCCGTACGCCCACCCCCCCGCTCAGCCGCCGCCCCCGCGTAGCGCCGCCCCGGTCGAAACCTCCCCGGCCCCACGGCGCTGTCCCGCGGGCCCCCCGATCCCACCGGCGCGCCGCCGGGCGGCATGATGAGCGCCGAGGTGGCCCGCCCCGCCGTGGGCAACGGCGGCCTGGCGCAGGGCAGGGCCGGCGAGCACGCCCGCTCGGAGACGCCCCCCGCCGATTCGGTGGGCCCTCCCAAGGCCCTGTCCAAGGTGGTGTGGGTGCGCACCAGCGCGGGGGGCGTCCAGGCCATCCCCCAGGAGGTCGCCTTTTTGTCGCCGTTCATCCAGCGTGAGGCCATCCACGCCGGCGCCGGCTGGAATTCCCGAACCCCTGTGGACCTGCCCAAGCAGCTGGGGCCGGAGAGCCTGGGCCAGATAGTGGAGTACTGCGAGTTCCACCGCGCGCCGGGCCGCAGCGACAAGGAGCGCAAGCTGTTCGATGAGAAGTTTATACGGATGGACGCCTGCCGACTGTGCCAGCTGACGTCCGCCGCCGACGCCCTGGACCTGCGCCCGCTGGTCGACCTGGCCTCGCGGGCCCTGGCGCGCCTGATCTCCGGCAAGACGCCGGAGGAGATCCGCGCCACGTTCAACCTGCCCGACGACCTCACCGAGGAGGAGAAGCTGGAGCCGGTGCCGTTCGGCACGGACGAGCCCCGAATCCGGCTGCTCAACCGGCTGTACGCCAAGAAGCGGCGCGAACTGGCAGAGCGCAAGGCGCGCAAGGCACCCGGGGAGGCACGGGATGCCCCCGCCCCGGTCGTGGACACGCGGTCGGTCGACGAGCTAGTCTCGTTCATCGAATCAGGGACGGGCGGGGGCGCCAACCACTCCAAGCGAGTCTCGCGAAGGCGGAAGGGCTCCAGGAGAGAGCGGCGGAGCAGGGAGCCCCCCGCGCTCGAGCCGTCGGGCTCCGGCGGACTGGACTCCGAGCGCAATTCCGTGGAGACCAGCGAGATGTCCAACACGTCGATGGACATGATGTCCGAGTGCCCCGCGAGGTGGCGGGAGGCCGGCGGCGGGCACGGAGGGTCCGGCGGCGGCCGGCGGGTGTTCGAGATTCCGGACTGCCCCGTGGAGGTGCTGTTCCCGGAGGAGGGCTTCGAGGAGGGGTGGGACGACCCAGAGCTGGAGTCAGAGATCGCGGGTTTCGCGCGGGCGCTGGACTCCGACTGGGGCAGCAGGTTACAGGAGCTGACGGGCGGCCGCGGGCGGGATGGGCCTCCCAGCGTGCTAGGCGCCGCCGTGGAGTTCGGCAGCATGCGGGTGTGAGAAGGAATGGCCCGGGAGGCCCTTAGTCTTGTGGGCATTTTGGGGTTTTGGCTTGTGGGGAGGCTTTTGCACGTGGCTCTATAAGGGCCGAGGCGCCTGAAGGCGGCGGAGGGGGGTGAGGGGGACATGGACAGAGAGAGGGGGAAGTGGATGGTCTGTGGCCGGGGCGGCGCGCTGTTGGCATTGGCGGTCTGTGTGGGCGATCGCCGGTGTTTGGGCGGGAGTGGGCGAATTGTGGCAGCCATGAGCCGCAGTGCCTGCGAGCCCTGCTTGGCAGAGGGGCTGGAACGGTGGCCTTGAAGGAGAACAAGAAAGGGGTGGGGATGGTGGACCGTGGGTGAGCTGTCCTGCCATGTTGACATCGGCAGCAGCATCGGTGCACCAGAGAGCTGCTCAAAGCCACACAGTCTGGAAGCCAGCCAAGGGTGCAGTTGGCGGTGGGACCTGGGCTCCGCAGAGTCTGCTCCAGGAAAGAATGTCTGGTACCCTTCGGGAGTGCTGTATCTGAAGAGGGTTGGGGAAAGGGATGGGAGAGGGGAGACTACTGTACTTTTGTGTGCATGACACGGTGGACGTGTTGGGCATTTTTGTTGCAGATACATTGCCGAAAGGACAAGAGGGGGGGCTGACGTGCCAACTTTGCAGGCCGAGCCGGGGGTTGCAAGAGTCATCAAATGGGACTGGGAATAAGGCTGTTGCTGTACACATTTCGAAATGTTTATATTTTCTATGCCTCACAAGGAATTGGGGCTGCAGGGGACAGGGGAGGATGGATGAAATTCTTCCCTGCAGGAGTGGGTGCCCACAGCCAACAAAGTCTATGGACTGTTGTGCTACAACGTGCATTCACAGACAACTGCACAATGTCCTGATGGTGTCTTGACCTTTGCTGGCAGTGCGGGCAAGGGCTCTTTGCACATGGCCGCTACAGAGCACCCATGGTGCACACAGCTTCAGAACCAAGGGTGCGGACTTGGTTTTCGTCATAACAAGGGTGCCAATTTTGAAAATTTGCAATACTCTGTTCTTTCTCGCTGGAAACAGCTGTTTTTAGGAAACTGGCAGCTGGTGGTGCATTGCGGAGGCTGCCAGTACGCCTCAGCACAGCATTTTTGCTTTGGGTGTAGTAGTTGTGGCAGTCGTGTGCTTCAGCAACATGCAGCCATTCTGCCGCACTACAGCCATGGCCCAAAGCCACCACTGCCACTCTGTTGACCATTTCGCTGGGAGTCTGGAGGATGGTTGCCCATGGGGACAGCACAAAAACAATGCTCTGGCACTTGAATACAGTGGTGCTATTTGACTCAGTCAGAGAGCAAGGGAATTCCCATGCATCCAGCAACTCCAAAGTAAGCAAGATTCTAAGATCTTGTTTCCATTGGGGGTTTTGCCAAGAGACGATGTACAAGCGCTGGTGTTCATTTGGAACAGCACTCAAACGACCCTGCCCTCGCTGTCGTAACTATCCAGTGGACATTATGCCCCCATCCCAACCCTTGTTCTCGTCTTTTCATCCATCGTCATACCCTGCAGCTCTCGGAGAACGTAAAGTTGCAGTTTCGCCCTTGGGCGTCTTTCACGCCCATAAGTACCGGAGATATGGGACTGGGGCTTGCTCCCGAGGCCACTGTCAAATTGCTGTAAGTTTCCAGCGGGTTCACAGTCGGCGCACTCCCCGCTGCTGCCCTTTGCAGCAAATCATGCGGACTTCATCGCCTTTCTGTGGGTTTTCAAGCCACCAACCGACATGCCAAATGGATGGCCCGTTTCACGCAAATGTGTGCAAGTTCAAGCACTCTTGAATATCGGCACAGCGACAGTTGTTCCAACGATCTGCTATTTGCACACGTAGTGCAGTACGGTACGGTACACACCGTGCAGTACAGTGTACGGTACAGGATCGGGGCGCCCCTGACATTTTGACCATCAATGCCCACTTGACACAACCGTGGGATGCCACCGTGCAGCTCCGTGTTTGGCTATTCTTGCAAATGCACAGCAAAGCCGCTCCCTGGCATCTGAGCTACACCCCGCGCCTCATACGCCCAGCATTTTTCGGTCAAGGCAGGGACACATCCCAGTACACGTACCTTTGGCCTGGCACCCGCTCTGCATGAAGGAGCGTTGTCCGACCAAGTTCCGACGTGACCAGCGGTTTCCACATCTTGCGGTCCGTCACTGGCATCATGCTGCCCATTTCATGCCACCCTGATCTATCGCAGATTATTTATGGCAAAACAGTTTGAAATTGCGCGTCCGTAATGTACCACGTGGCAAATCCGTACAATAAAGCAATTCGTGAAGGACATGTCTCCCGGTCGTTCGCACTATCGCCCAGACCATACCTCTTGCAGTCGCCCAACGGTTCCGCCGACGACACAACGACACAAGCCCGGTCTTCAGCTGATGCGGTGGAGCGCCAGTAACGCTTCGTCAATGCCGTTGTCGGCCTCACACATACGAGGGCCAGGTGGCCGTGGCTCTTTGCATCACGGCGGCTTTCTCGTGACAAATCCTTCAGATCAAACGGTCCGTTCGTCGCCGTTGAAGAGAGGTATTGTGGCCATTAGCGTTCCACTCTGTCCTTTAGGAATTTTCTCCCAACCAGCATAGTCATCGCACAGAGGACATGTCCTGCAGCTGACGAGACGATCCCTCAAGCGTGGGCCACGGTTCATGGCCCCAATGGATGAGCCCTCAAATGTTGATCTGTGTAAACTTTCCATCAGTTTCTTTGCCCAAACCATCCTATTGCGTTGGTGTTCGCAACACCGCATAATGACCACCGTTTCACTAGGTGGATCACTTATGCATTATGGTGTGCGACTTGTATACACGTCAAGAAGATGGTTTATATGCAAAACATTCTGAATCTATAGAAAAAAGAAAAACATGTTTTAAAATTCACAGAATTATTATGATGATGAGTGGGCATCTTTGGAGTGTCGTATGGCTGGTTGTTGATGGATGATGGTCCTTGTCACATGAAAAGGTAAGGTTCTGTAGGTGCAAGGGAATTCGAACTGTTCGGTTGCGGGGGTCGTTGCCACCGTCGGCAAGGCTCTTCGCTGTGAGAAGGGTGAACAAATATGTAAGCCCTGGGCGTTTTGCGTGTGGCGTGGCCTTGCATCTGGCCGTGTGCCAACCCGTTGAAGCATCGGCGATCGTGGATTCGCACTTCCCGCGTGCACTCCAAAGGGAGCCGTTTGAATTACATCAACGGCCTTTTCCTTCAACATTGGCTTATTCCTATGAATTGGCAAGCCTTGAAGAAGTAATGTGCCTTTGAGACGAACACAACTGTGCCATTCATCCAGGTGAGCACGGCGTGCTTCCCTTTCGGTTTCTGTACTGCTTTTCTCCCTTCAAACGTTTCCCAATGTGTTTTGTTAGTTTTTCAATTCGCTTTTCAATACTATCGAGCAGCTGTCATTGTCAAATTTTGTACAGGACTAGACACGTATGGTTGAGGGTGTCGTGTCAGCCAGTCAACTGTAATGAGTCAGTCACATCATACACTTTGAATGCAGGGATCGCTCGACTAAAAGCTAGCTCATAATTCAGCGCCACAGTGGTGTTACCGATGCAGGCAATAGTGCTGTCCACTATGGTACATGTTTTGTTGCATGTACTACCTGATATCCACATGAATACAGGTACCATTCAACCAAGAAATACTGGTGGTGTTCCACGCCACTTGTATCAAGACACGTGGCGGGCAGCAACAAAAACCCGTGTGCTCGTCACACCCTATCGCACACGATTTCGGGTCTCGTTCAGTTCACGGAATTCACGGAATTCATCACCATCGTCATTAACAAGTCAAACATACATAGGCGAGGATGTAGCCATCAGCTTCCTGTTTCGCCCGAGCAAAGCAGTGCCCATGACCTGTTCCACGCGAAAACTAACATATTGCCGCAATCCAACCATTGAGTCGCTGCACGTCAGAATGCGCAATCCACACATTCTGCGCCATGATATAGGTAATTCCCCGAATTTCACACAACCTACCCAAGAAAAAAACTGAGTTGGACCTCCGAGCCTGATCGACGCGACCCAATCTGCCAATCCCGCAATTTCCGCGGTTATGACCTTCCCAACCCCTCCCCCCCCACCCGACCTGAAAGGCAGTCCCCTCCCCGCCCGCCGGCCATGCTGCAGCGCCCCACCGCCCGCCCGCTGCAGCACGGCCACCCGGCCACCCCATCCTTCCCCACCCACGACAGACATGGCCAGCGCCGATGAACCGCCGCCGGATCCAGCTGGGCACAGCGACGAAGGTGGGAAGGACCGGTCCGAACCGCCACAGAGTGGCTGAGTCGCGCTCGGGATGGCTCATCGCATCTTGGCTGATTGCCGGTTTTGGTGGCCGCAGATGAGACCGCGGAGCTCGTGAGGGAGGCGCTGCAGGAGATGAAGGCGCTGAGGCAGGCCTGCCGGGTGGGTTTGGGGGTCCTGGACGTTGGGCAGAGCCGAGCAGCGGGCCTGGGGGTAGACAAAGGGAACCGGGGAGGGATGTTGTGGCTTGATTCCTGACAGGATGCGGGCTGTTTCGAAAGGGGGGGGAGCGATTGGCGAGGCGGGGAGCCGGGGGGAGGCTGGCTTGCATCTGCCAGGAAAGGGTCGTGCGGGGGGGGAGGGTGGGGGAAGCTGGCTGGCGCCGGGCTGTCAGGCTTGACTTCGGGTTAACAGCCGGCATGGCGGGCGCCGTCCACGCCGCTTGGCGTCCGCCTTCTGTGGCCCTTTTCCTGTGGGAGGCGGCGTAGCGGGGTCCCGCGCGGCGCAGCGCATGCTTAAGCTTGTCGTCGATATTGGCGGTGGTGTGGGGCGGCGGGTGTCCTGCCCACCTGTGCGGAGGCGGTTCGCGCGTTGTCGGCTCGCCGCGCTCCGCGTATCAGCTCGGACAGCACCGCGCAGGGCAGCAGCGCCGTTTGCTTCTGTCTATCCGTCTGTTTGTCGTGTTTGTGGGTGCCGGTCCAGCCTTGGAACGCGCGGTTGGATCAGGGGTGCAGCATCTGCGCCTCAGGGGGGAGGCGAAGGGCGGTGGGGTGCTTGCCTGATGTCTTTATGCCGAATGATCGCCGCCGGTGACTGGGCCCCGGGGCCAGGTTGGCATCGCTTCGAGGTGGCAGTGACGGTGGGTTGTTGGTGCCGTCGCTGTTCGGATTGCATACTACAACAGAGCATCAGCGCTCCAAAGTGCTGTGGCTCCGTTGCTGGCCGGTGAGTCTCCGAATGTGTCAAAAGTTTCGAATTTTGTTCGGGCTTGGGGTGTTGAGGATGGGCGACGGGTGATTGCCTGAGCAAGCCGCCCAGGCAGGTGCTAATTGTTGCGACTGCGGACCAGGAACCAGCACCTCCGAAGCCCGTGAATGAACAGGAGGGCGCCGTGCTGGACAACGAGGTATGAGGGTGTGACAATGGGGGTCGTGAATCTTGCGTGAAAGCCCAACAACCTTGTGTGAATTTGGCTTGCACAGGAATCAGCCACTGTTGTTGCAGGGGCAGTTTATGGCACACATGAAATAGCACCGGAAAAGGATTGTCTCTGTTCCAAACAACAACAACTTGTGTAGAACAGGCTGTTTATATAGCATGGTTATCGGGTCATTGTTGCCGTGGTGTTGCCCACTGCCTCCCAAAATGCAGCAAGATATCCGCTTGCCTGGAAATATTGACGTTGGGCTCATCTGGTCAGCTTGTCTGTCAGTCCAACTTGATTGTTGTGTGCATCTCTGGCACTGTAGACAGACGATTCTGCCCTTTGCTTTGCAGTGGTATGACCTGTTGCAACGGTGCGTGGACAGCCCAGAGTTTCTGAAGAAACTTGAGTCCATATGCAGCTTTGCCACTGACACATCAACAGAGGGAGAGGACAAGAAAACCACAAAGGAGCCGCTTACAGTGAGTTAGCTTCATGATGTTTAGCGAAATTCCCCAGGGACCTATGCATACATGTACAAAGTGATTGCATTCTCCTGCTCAATGGTCAGCACCACCAGCATAACAGTCTGGTGCTGAAAGGACAGAATGGCATGCTTTGACATCAAGTCAGGTGTTGAAAGCATGCTCAAAGCACTTTGTGAGAGTGTTCTCAACAAGGACATAATGGGTTCCATGGCAGTGCTATTCCACAAGCAAATAGCTCGATTGACAGTGGCAGTGTCAGCGGAGAGTAATCCAAGAGTGGCGGCTCAAGAGTTGCACGGCCACATCGCAATGGAATGTCACAATGCAATGTACTGAATGCTGCTGCAGGATGTGCGGCTTATACATGATTTTGTCCAGAAGTTTGAGACATGCCTCACTAGATCATCATAACGCCTTTTAGTTCAAGAGCAAGAAATCGTGGTTGTGGGAGTGTTGTCGCACCCAATCAGCTCTTGGATAGTAAATAATCCAAGAGCTTGAAAATAAGAAATTTCATCGTCATGGACTTGCTTTATTGTGGCCATGTTGTATAGGAGACGTCAAGCATGCATCAGAGCAACGTTTGTCTCCATATCACCACCTGAAGGAAACAAAATCTTGCGCAAACTCTTGGGCTGCTCAGGGTCCGCGGTAATTGCTGTCACATACAGAGCACCACATGTGTCCCCATCTGGCAACCATGGGCGTCAGTGCGCATGAGCTGGATGCGTCGGATCTTGTTGCCCTGCACAGCTGCTCAGCATCATGTGTGTCCTTGCACGTCCCTCACAAGACATGATGGTTGCATTGACATTTCAGCAGTTAGAAATGCTCTTTGAGAGCCAGTGGCCTGAATACAACTAAAAGCAAAGGCAACTTGCTCTAGGCGGTGTTTGTGGAATTTTCTGCAAGGGCATTTGTCATGGTGACAAAGCACTGCCCTTCCAACTGCCAATGCAGTGGTGGGCAGTGCTTTCATCCAGCATGTTGACAAAGGCAAATCAATCTTGCAGCCAATATTGTTTTCGGAGGGGCAATTGCATGGCATGCAATGAATGCAGGAAGATGAGATCATGGAGAGTGTGAGGGAATCATACATTGTTGTCAGCCGGGACGATGCCGTGGAGTCGATGGCCCTCATAATCGCTTCAAGCGTCTCAAAGTGCCCTGAGGCACAGAAACTGGGAACCAAGGAGCTGCACAAGGCAGTGGTGAAGGCGTGCAAGGTTGGGTAGCAGACACTTGTGAAGCGAACACCTGTCCCCATAGATACTGAAGCGCTCTGCTCATTGGGCATGGTGCAGAAACGGTTTGTTTGGAATCTGGTTAGCAATATTAGTAGCATATGGAAAGTCACCCGACATTTTGTAGTGGCTGACACTGACAGGCCTTCTTGAAGTGCCGAACTTGTCCAAATCGAGTTCAAGTGCTTTTTGCCTTGCACCCATTTATTCCCTTGCACTGTTTGTCAGGTGGCAAAAGCCCACATCTCTTCTAGCCAGATGGGGCTGGCACCTGATCAATCGAATGTTATGCAATTTTTCGATAGAAGAAAGGAGCAGGACAGACGGCATTTTGCTGGGCAGATGTGTAGCTGGTTGCACTGTTGTTGGTGTGCACTAGTTGGTGTCCACTGGTAATACATTTCCAGAAAGGATTTGTTAGATAACAACAACAATAACATGCCAATAAGTATTTCTGCTGTTGAGGCAAAAGCAAATGACGTCCTGAACACAGCAGCCATGGGCGTTCTATGTGTGATCAATGAAGTGCATCATCTTTCAGCTGTGAATGGGAATGTACTAATGCTAAATTTCATTGCCCTGCTGCAACTTGCAAACGACCCTGTGAGGCAGGTGCACCACCTATTTGACACTGCAAAAGGCTGCATGCAGCCTCTGGGTTGGTTTAAACCATTGCTGTCAGCCATGGACAGGCTGAATGTCTCTGTCAATCAGTCATTTTCAGGTGTTGCTGTGATGCCTGTGGCAAAGCAAAATCAGCAAACCTGCCTACACCTTGCAATAAGTATTACCTGTTGTGGGTGAAATGGCAGTATTCATAGTTTCACAGTTGGAACTGATGAGGAATAACTCATGGATGCTGCCCACTACATCAATGAAAAAGAAACACGTGCACTGGCCTTACGCTGCCGTGTCTGTGTAGCAAACACCTTGATCAGCATGCAGATAGCATGCCATGCACTCAGAGTTGCATCTGTACAGAAGGGAGTTTTTGTTTGCCCTCATTTTGATAATCTAATTTTTTGTAGTTTCCTTTTGTGTTTCTATTTTTCTTTGTCGTCTTGCACCATGTTATCTATTTCCTCTGTCCAGAATGTCCTCTATGACCTTAGCGTCAGAGTTCTCCATCATGGAAGCTTCTTTTGTCAATACAATTTCTTCCAAAGGTGTGCCTCTGTTTTCGGAATATACAGTCAAAATTGCAAGTCAGTCTGTTGAGTATTGAGGATTAGGCAATACATTGTAGAAAGGGTCCTCCTGCCAGAAACCCACCCGTTTTTCAGCAAAGTCACCGAAATGGCTGTTTTCGTGATCGTGAGGAGCACGCCTTTGCTGTAGCCAAACAAGACTGCCCGCTCAAAGCTATCCACGCCTTTTGGATATAAGCTTGGAGATGTCCCTGCAAAGAAGCAAAACGGTAGAGAACGTGTCTTGGTGGGCTTGATCGTGGAAGTTGCCATGGCTTCGCTGCCCCTTATCCGAGATCGGTTGGCCAATATGGGGATGCATTTCCAGCCCAGATTCCTGGGCCGCGACCTTTGAACCTCCATCGCTGTTGTGAGCGGTACCGCGCAAGGCCTCTCAAGCCTCTCGAAGAGGTGCTAAGGAATGAGATGGCCATCACCTTAATCAATGGCGGACGATTAGGGGGATGGCTTCCAAGGTGGGATTGCAAAGCCGGCCCTTGCCTTGACAATTGAAAAAATGGAACGCAAAGCGAATGGTTAGATACATAAGTTTGTGTTTCTCTCATGAGCAGAGACTAGGTGGATTGCAAAGGGGTGTGGATCACTCGTAGAAGTTGGCCACTTTCTGGAGTGTGGACCCAACCATGCGCCAAAGCCTCGATTCAAGGATCAATCAAGGCGCAGTGTCAAAGTAGAATTACAACTTAGAGTGATAGCTTGTACAAAGCCCAAGTTTGAGCGCCTTGGGCGTTGGCCTGTTCCACTTGTGGCAAGTCCTTGCATTGGAGGCAATGGTTTGTGCCATCGTCGGTGCCATGACGATGGGCTTCTCGATGGGGATCCAAAGACGGTTGAGCATGTTTGGCAAGCGTTACACCACAAAGGACACTGCCCTTCGCATGACGGCAACAATGACCTTGCTTCGGCACGTCTGGGATGGGAGCGACCAAGAACCGCATGGATCTCCAATGGACACCGAATCAGAATGCACAATTTTCGGCTGAATCTTGGGCAATATGAAGGGGGCCCCAGAGGTGGTGGGGATGAGTATTTGCCCACAAAGATTGGTATTCAAGGGTTTGTTTTAGGACCCGATCGTTTCGACTATGACCTTTATCGGTACTGTGGAAGGCGTTTAGATAACTAAATTGATCTTTTAAATAGAGTACAATTAACTCTGGACGGAGGAAGTACAATCAAGCAAATCACTCTCCCCCTTGGGGATGAGTGGGTGCAAGGCAAGAGCACTATGCACCATGTCTTGTTCTACTTGAAAGAAATGAGTTGCCCATGAATGTTTTACGATGGGCATAGCATTCCTGATCACGGTGAAGTGAGGCACCTGCCCACTCTATGAAAGATGGTGCAGAAGTCTTGCATGGAGCTGAGCTGCCACACAACATTGTGTGTACTCCCCCCCATGCTTTGTCAAGCTGATCATGGGTGCAGTATGGTGATTGTCCCATACATGGCTGTATAGCTATACAGCATTGCCTTGATACAACAGGAAGAAAGTGGCGCTAGTTGCACTGTGTGACTTGTTCACAACTCTGCAATTGGACTATGGGTGTTGGTGGCGCCTGGAACTGAAGGCGTGTTTGCGAAATGGCAATGTAGATGGAATCTCATCATCGCCTGAGGTGTGCAATGGCAGCATCACATTTTTTCTAATACAATCATGTACATTTGACACTGTTGCCGCCGGGCTGTGGTTGTGGAAGTCTTTGCAAGTTCATGGGTGTTGCGATGTGGCTGAGTTTGCATGTGCCGTCGTCTTGTGCAGGACTTGAAGACCAGCAAGCTGAAATCTGCATGGCAGTGGAGTTATTTTTTGTACCGCACTGTTGCTGTGAGCTACAGCGCTTTTCAGGTTTTCGAGCACCCTTGGCTGATGCGAGCGATTGCGTCTGCCCTATGGCAAGTCCCAAGGACCATGTGGGGACTCATGTTTTAAGCAGGCAGCGCGCAGGCCTGCTGGTAGCGCTTCTTGTTCTAATGGTCTGTTTGATGATGGCAATAAGGAGAACAGCACTGGGCAGATGTGCTGCTGCTTGCGTTGGATAGGTGGCACATTCGCTCAGGAGCGGGGTGGCTGGAGAGGTTGGCGGCTTTGGGCAAAAGCTTATTTCCTAAACTGGAGAGGCGAGGCGCTAGATTTAGGACCGCTGAGAGGAGTATTTCGTTTGTTCGCTTAGTCGATGCGTTAGAGAGGGTGGGAGCCAAGGATGCTTGACAAGAGGTTGGCGAGCAGATCCATGAGGCGTCGATTTCAGCTTTCAATTCTTTTCGTTCTTTTGAAGGCCGGGGGTGGCGCAGCTGTTGCGACTGCTGGAAAACGATTTTGTGGTGCTCACGAAAAGCGCCCGTCTACGCATGTAATGCATGTAATGTACAGAGGATGTGCGGTTAAACATGGACAGTCCAGTTGGCTGTTTTTGCCAAACGCGGTACACACCGCCCTTGAACCTGCGAGGTTGTGAGAAGCGTAGATTCGTTTCCACTCTTTGTCTAAACCATTTTCCTTTGCCCAGAACGTCCTGAAAAAGAGAAAGTAAGCTCGAATCCCACAGCGGGAATGAGGCGTGTGGCCTCCCGACAGAACACGGCCACATTGAAGAAGTCGGACCTTGGCTTGGAGGCGAGCGGAGGGCGGGCATCATTTCGAATTCGAATTGGGTCGCTCAGTGCCCAAAAAACTCTCGAAGGGTGCATCAGTCAAATCCTTCGGTTGCACTAGGAAAAAAGTGCAAATAACGCGTGTTGAAACGTGGACAAAGTTTACGGGTATGGGTTATTTTTGTGTTCTTAGCGTGCAGAACTTTGATGAAATGTGTTTTATGTGTGTTTGCAAAAGTGTTATTTGGCCCCTTTTTTGCTAGTGTTTTGTGCGTCTGTACATGGCAAAAACACACCCCTTGCGCCTCATAGTCGATGACAGGCTTGAAACAAAATCCAATTATCGTTTCAGGTCCTTATCAGCACCCCTGCACAGAGTGGTGGTGCGCGACGGAGCAGATTTTCTGCTGTAGGTAAGAGCTTCAAACGCCATGCATTTTGCGCGCAAGACGTTGCATTTGGTCATTTCATGGGTGACTGCTCAAGCCGACGACGTGTGCAACATGTGCAGTTCCCTGCACAAGAAATTTGCGTCGTATTTTGGCAAAGTGCCACGGATGCATCCCAGAATGGGGACGATTGTGGAATGACATGTCTTCCACTTCACACTCGTGATCAACCCAAGCACGGCATTTTATCTAATCATACAAAATCTACACAATGCGTGAATTTGAACGACATGCAAATGCACCCTCATTTCCTTACGTCAAACACCTTGCAAAAGGTCATTTATGGTGCCACCACAGTTCCGTGCGCTTCACTTATTCCCACGAATCCCTCCTCTCTTTGCATCATTCATGGAATTTTCTATTCCCCTCTCGTAGTCTGAATCAACTTCATTCAAATTTCGCATTGCTCGGAAAGGCAGGAGTCCATGTAGCAGGCCCGTCGCATCCACCAATGTGGAAAATGCTCGCCCCACATCCCTCTCCATGGCCGCCGCCGGTTATCAATTGAAAGAGCAAAATACAGATATGGCATCTCGGTCGGTCTCTGAGCTTACGTTCGCGAGTTATTCAAACCCACAAAGGCCGCAATGTCCAGTCCTTTCGCATCGACAGAGCCCATGCGCCAATGGGACCCTTGCCTGGGTCCAGCAGTAGGTTCTCGACAAAACCGATTTTTGCGTGAAGACGGGCATGGCGTTGGACGCCGAATCAATTTCCATCCCAAAATTGGCAAACAGCGACATTGATTCGCAATCAAAAAAGCAATCTGCAACGGATTGCCAAAGACAACAGATAGTGCGCTCCAGTGCGGGCCACGACTTCGTGGATGTGGTATTGTCATAAATCTGTGGTGATGGCGGCCGCTTGGTCGCGACCTGGACTCCCCAATGTTGTGTGTGGCCACGATTGCTAAGGGCGAGCAGGAGTTGTGGAAACATCAGCTTCTGTCCCGGCCTTTGGAAGCCTGCCTGAATTCACCCATCTGCAGTTCTGGCAGGGCGGGCCGGCCTTCTACAAATGGCGGCCCTCCGGGCGCTTCGATGGACCGAGACCGAGTACCGCTGATGCTTCGAGAGATCTGCAGAATAATAGGTCAGAAGACGAATTGAGCGGGATTCATCATGAGCATTACCAGAGACATTCATCGTTGTTCACCATGAATACCATGATTCAGCGTTAATGTCTGTGCGCTTATAATACAGTAGTGCTGCAACTATGGTGTAGCAAATTGGATGATTATCCTGTAAACTTTATTTGCGCTCGAATCCATATGAATGGCAGAAAATTTACCCTTTCAGCATGTAAAGATTATTAACATTTATTGACCTTCACCATTCACTCTAGGTTAAACCTAGAGCCGACACGGTTGAGAGAAGCCCCGTGAACGAGCGCTGGGGTTTACCTGATAGGAAGTGTGCATGGTCGCGATGCCTTCCTCCGGCAAGCAAGTCAGAACTTCCGGGTCGGCCTCGGACAGAGATCGGCGGCGAGTGCGGGGCGTCCATATTTTGCGGATACAGCTCTTGGAGTGCCGATGACCGGAGGGACGCCCTTGCGAACCGCCCTTTTCAGGCTCGCCTGCGCAAGGCTCGCCGCCATCAATTGCAGTTGGGGCAATAGCAACCAATTTTTATTTCATCGCGTGAATCCAACACTTCATTGTGAATTTTACGCTGATGATTGAAAGAGCAGCCATTAAGGATCGTCATATCTTCCAGGGCCAGTACAACTGCTCAGTTGAAAATGCTCCAGCGAGCAACGCAATGGATATGCCCTGCAAATATCACAGCATTCATGAATAGCTTTACGCTTTAAGGACCGTTATTTCAGCGCAACCATTTCCATGCTGCGTTGCCCAGAAGCTGCATAAGCCAGTGTGAACAAGGTCACCCCTCACTAATGATTCGGACAATCAAAATGCTTTAAACATAGCCTGTCGTGATGCGCGATTTGATGGCCCTACCAACCCACAAGTTCTTAAATTCTGTTTGAAGTTACGGGAAAACCATCGAACCATCGTCGCAGCATCTACATCAATTATCGCAATGTCAATATTCACACTTCTGGTCTCAGTGGTTCTAACCTAGCTAACTGAAGTTCCTCTAGCATTGGCAGCTACAGATTGAGTGTATGCGCACATTCGTCGCATTTCCAGTATGGCAAAACCTCTACAATATGCCGCAATGTTATGTTTCTTTCATGCGTTTCCTTTTGGCTTCCAATGGGAAGTGGAAGGCCCATTCAGGTGTTTAAAATTCGACCAGAACGCAAATTTACAGCCCAAGC